CAGCAGCTCCGGGATTCCTCGGGACTCTTCCCAGTTCAGGGAAGTGCTGTGGGAGTTGCTGGGGTGGGGGGAGGCGAGAGGCTTTTGCCCATACCTGAATATATATCTGTATATAATTGTATATATTTTCTTGTATCATTCATTAGTGTTTTAATTAAAGCTGTGTAGTTTAGTTTTCAATCCAGCCAAGTCTCTCTCTTTTTCTCTCTCTCCTTCCCTACCTGGGTTGGGGGGAGGGGGGATCGAGAGCATTGTTGTCGGACCTGAGTCAAACGGTGACACTTAGACTATTTGTCATTAGAACGATTCCATTACAGTATCCTCCACAATTCAAACCTGGCTTTTATTTTTTACTGTGCCAGAAATGTAACAGTGTAAAAGACATTAAACCCACACTATTGAAAACAAACATGTCCCTTACCTAGACATGCCATTCCTATCTGAATGGCATCCAGTGACTCCAGCATGAATTGGTATCTTAGATTTATCCAAGAGGACACCCTGCATCTTCCTGATAGCTGCCACTGTATTTGCCTCTCAGTGACTGTCTCTTTGTGCTCATGCCAACAGATGACCCTGTTCACTGGCAGGATACATGTCACTGGTTGGATTGTCAAGTACATCCTTCAGGACCTACAGGAGTCCTTCGGACATCAAAGACAAGAAAAGGAGCATCTGATATAACAGCACCTGCAGAAGTCCTCAAGGAAACACATGCCAACCCTTCTGGGGTCAGACTTTCTCCATTGTCTCTGTGGTTTTTTTTTCCCCAGAAGAAAACGCTGGATGATTCATCCCTCCATCAGGCTGGGAAAGCCTCCTCTGCCCAAAAGTAGAATTGAGAAGGCACTTCAGGCAAGGCTCTGCAGGGACACGGATAATTTCTGACGATCTGCTCTCCCTCTTACTCATTTCTCTGTAGCCACCCTTCTTGTGCCTGTGGCTGCTGAAGGAAGAAGCCCTTTGTCACTGCAGGGCCTTGAGCACCCTCCTTGCCAACAGAAAGAGGCCGTGGAGCACTGCTGAACACAGCCCAAGCAGTGCAGTTCACCAGGACTCAGTGCTAGTTTTAACCAGTCAAAGGCTGGGCAATGACTCCATTTAAGGCATCTATCCACTCCCTCTGCTCCCTGTCGTTCTCACACAGGAACACAAACTCTCTCACTGGTGTGACCACAGTGATCGCTGGTTTCCTTTTCTTCATTCGGACTCCCTGGGGCAAACCAGCTCGTACTTCATATCCCTCATCCATCCTGCCAATGAAGACCTGGCCCTGTGCAAATGCGTCCTAGAAAGAAGGAAGCAAAGACAGCCATTAGCCAGTGGACAGCACAGCTCCAACAGACACTGTTCTATCCTTTGACAGAGAGCAGGAACTGGGGATGTGTGAAGACACTGTCCTTATTTGATAAGGAACAGTGGCCAGCAAGAGGAGCCCCATGGAGGCACAGTGCCACCTTGCAAAACACCACTTTCCCATGTAAAGACAGAGCGCATGTGTGAAAATAAAGGTCATTGCTCAGTCAACCCAGATCAGGGACACACACACACAAGTGATCACCTAGACCCCTGTGCCCCACTGACTCATTTCTAGAACATTTCCAAATCCAACACTGAGTCTCCGCAAAGTAGGTTGAACCTCACTCAGAGAGGCAGGGCCGGGTGCCACCCAAGAGGAGCTTCCACCTCTGGGGAGCTGTGCCCACCTTGTGGGATGTGACAGCTCTAGAAGCTGTAGGCTGTAGCAGCTACTTTTAAAAGACTTGTGTCTTCCTCACAGCCACCTTAAGGGCCAGAGTTCCCAAAGAGTGCAGCTTCAGCAATCCATTGACAAGGGAAATGAGCTCTTGAGACAGAGCCTGCTTGCCTTGCACAGCCACTAGAAGAGCTACATGAGAACAGACTCTTCCTCCCCACCCAACTTGATAAAGAGGAATAGCAGAGAACATCCCTCTTACCAGCGGATTTTTAAAGTACATCAAGTTTCTTTCTTGAGAATCCAGGCAGAACCAGCGCACCTTAAAGGCCTCCTTCTGCTGCAAGGAGATGGTAGAAATTCTTAAGAACTTTAAGAAGAATGTAAAGACTAAGTTCCAAGGGGAGTTCAGCCTATTCAGGGCAGATCCCTGGACTGCTTAAATGACTCAGAGCTTGAGTTCAATTTCATTCACGCCTGGAACAAGTAACGGGCGAATCATTGCTCTGTGCAGCCCTCAGCTCCCTTCTCCCTGGGTTCACACTAGAGATCTGCATTCAATAATGACAATCCTTTTCATAGGGCAGGGAAGTTTGATGTATCAGTGACCAAATTACCAAGTTTAAGAAAGTCACAGCAAATGGATTAATTGCAAGCACTGCAGAGAATGATCCCTGGGCCAGTAGTGACAATAAAGAGAGTGTGCAATCAATTTCAACCTTTTGGTTTGGGTGGTTGTCCCTAGCATTGCAGGGTGCACAATGGTAGAAAGAGCCAATTGCAACAGCTACACTCATCTGACCATTCCCTGAGCTATTCATTGCTCTGTGCAGAACTGAAAGGCCTTCTTGTAGGGTTCACCTCAGTTTCAGTAGAATTTAGGCCTTGGACAGAAACACACAATCTTTCATTCTTGTAGCTTTGAGTATTCTCTACCTGCAGGAAGTTGTAGTGGGACACTAGCACCAAGCTGGGCCAAAACCCCAGTATATTCAGTATCAGCATTTAACCACTGAAATTTTTAATAGGACTTTGGCTTGTGGTTCACTCAGACAACAGCAAGACAAGAAGTGGCAATGTTCAAACAAGACCTCAGATCTTTATCTCCTTCTTCAGCAGAACCTGAAATCTCCCCCTCATGTTTCAAGGAGCAGTGGCCCAAATACCTTTTCACAAAAAACAAAACAAACCATAGGTTTCACTGTAGAGAATTCGCTCAATCATACTTTGCTGCTATAAGCAGATGTGACTTATGTGATACTGACTTTAAGAGAAACAAGGAAGTAGGGGAGCCAGCATGTGATGTTCTGTTCTAGCAGGAGCTGCAGTTAGCAGGCACAGCAGTCCATCCAGTGTTGTGCAACAGGACTTTGCACATCCACTGCCAGCTAATCCATCTTGCTTACTCTTCTAGGAAGATTCTGCTTCCCAGTCTTATCTTCCAAGCAAAATAAAACATGAACCCAAGGAGCACAAAAGGTGTGCATCTCCCATCAACCCAGCAAGCATACAGTCACTCAGCAAACTGTAAACATAATAGAATTACCAAATATTCTCCATGCAGACTAATCCTGTTTGTGTAATGCCAAGTATGCACTTACTTTTGGTCCTGTTTTCTCCATATGTCCTTCTTTGACATAATTTCTTGTGATCCTGGATATGAGCTAGGAAAACACAAACACACAAAAGAAGTGTCTCATTCAAGCTTGCTTTTCTGTTCAATTTTGCCTTGGGAGGCCTGGGTTATTTTTGGCTGCTCAGTAAAAGGAAGTTTGAAGTAAGAAGGAACAAGGTTTTTGAGAGATTACACTTCATAGGGATCACATGGAGACTTTTAGACCTTAAATGTTGACTAGGTTTTTGCATGTTATCCAGTGTGGTCTCTACTTCTACTTCTTCTGTCCATCCCCAAGACCCATATACTGTTGTTTGGGCACCCAGCTCTGGCAGAATAAGTGAGAAAACGTTCTCCCATGCTGTGTTTGCATAGACAGCTTCAAGCCCTCTTCAGTTCTCACCTCAGGCTCAGGGACAGCTGGGAAGGTTGTTCTGAGATAATGGTAACGTGCTGCCCGAATGGCATTGAACCAGTCAACAATCTCCTAGGGAAAACAGCAAACACAAAGACAAGAATGAGAAAGAGTAGAAGTGCTGCTTCTCCAAAATGCCTTTCTCCTTCCTTGTGACCTCTTTGCAAAGATGTATTTTCTCCCCGAGGGGCAGCGAGAGTCAGTAATTTGTCCCAAACACCTGAAAAACACTGAGCCTCCAAAATAATTTAAAAATGCCCCTCTGGGGAGGTCCTAGACATTCTCAGCATGGACAGTCACCCAAGCCTGTGTACACAGGCCTTCTCAGTTAATTCACTTACACGTTGTTTTAAAACCTTTGTACCTGGAAAGACATGAGAAGGAAAGGGAAGGGAGGGCAAGGGAAGAAACAGAAATCTAACAAAACTAATTTATATTCTACTTTAAATTATCAAGCTTTTCTTGGAAAAATGCAGAACAACAATATTATTTTCTGTGCATGTCCAGAGGCCTTCAAAGAATATATTTGTATGAAACCCTCAGGCAGTCACCTTACAGAGATTTACAAATGTGACCCACTGAGGCTTTAAGAACATTCAGGGTGTGAAGTTGAGTAACTGCCCCAGCAGAACAGACACAAGATGTTACTGTCAAATTCTGCAACTTTCTGTATTATACAAGTCATAGTGATTTTAAGTAAAAACAGGTCCTGCAGAAACAGGACATCTCTTCCAATATATAGACCAAACATCTACGCATCTTGCTTATTCCAAAATCTCCATGGTATTCACCTTTCCACTTTCGTGATAGACAAAAAGGTTCCTTGTTTGACCATCTGTGCTGTATGTGATCTGCAGCCCATGAGCATGTTGGATTTTCTCTGTCTGGAACATTGCATTCATGTTCTCAATGCTGATAATGGCTTTTGGACCTCTGGACTGTGAAATGAAAAGCATCACTGTATTAAAGGGCTCTCAGGGAAGGTAATGAAGGACAACTGTGTGAGAACTACATCCCTACTGAAGAGGAAGCAGGCATCCTAAATATCTGGTTATTGGATATACCCAAAACAGAAAGCCTTAATTACATGCTATCTAAAATCCCTTGCAAAGAGCAACTCTCTTTCCTTGACAAATGCCAAGCTGCTATTTGAGAAGAATGTGTCTGACTAGCAAGGGATGGGTTCTATGGTTCTATCTCTGGCCTCATAGTTGGAGAACAATTAGTTACACTCTCCCACAGAAGCAAGACATATGGAGGATGATGCTGCAGCAGTTGATGAGAAAATATTTTGGTAATGTAAGAGGTAAGAGCTGTTAACAGGTCTTGTTCATCTTGCTGTTCAACTGCCAGTATCCATTTCCTTTGTTCACTAAGCAAAGGGAGGCTGCAGAGTTAAGATAAGAGATGAGGAAAAGGGCTAAATCCAAAGAGCAATTGCCTAAAACACCAGGTATGTTAGTGGGGAAACATCTGGGCTGCTCCACAGGCTGGCCTGGCTGCAGAACTAGAGACAAAGCTCTTTTTGCAGGTTTTTGCAGGTGAAGATCAGGGTCTGAGGATGAATGTTGACCAGCTAACTATGGCAAATTCTGGCTGAGGAACTCACTTCTTTGGTGTAGTACTTCATCACTCCTTCCCTTGCTGACAGAAGAAATCGCCTCTTCTTGAAGTGCCTGCTTTCCCGCCCACGCTTCCAGAGGAACCCTTCACGGCTCCCTGCAGATCAGACCAAGACACGTGTCACGGAAGGGCAGCACATCAGCCAGACTGTTCAGCTGAATGGTGACATGCCACAGAGTTTCAAGGCTTTTCTCCATCTGAGAATTTCTGCCTCATGAAAAATGAAGTGGGCAACTAGAGAACTGTAAGATCTTAATACACCCTTCCACTTGTCCAACTCCCTTTTCTTAGGCGCTTCTTCTCAATGTTAAGTCTCAAAGCAAGGCCTGCACATCCAACAGTTCAAACAGGACAAGCCAGCCTTAAAGATCTTCAAAGCTGCAAATGTTCACACTGTGCTGTTGGGGTTTTCCCTGACAATCATAGAATCACAGACTGTTTTGGGAGGGACCTTAAAGATCATCTAGATCCAACTCCCTAAGTGGGCAGGGACACCTCTCACTAGACCAGGTCGCTCCAAGTCCCATCCAACCTGCCCTTGAATGCTCTAAGGGAAGTATTTTCTAGTGTTAATAAGTATATATTAAAGTAAACAGGATACCCACAGCTGTCAGGTAGTTACTATGCTAGCAGAAACACAAGTTTAAGGTCACCCACTGTTACAGTTTAAGATCAAGAACTGGAAAACTGCCCCTCAGAACTACAACAGCTACACTCAGGGTTGTACTCAGGTCTTTGCCAAAAGAATGCCTTTTTTAATATATATTATAAGGCAGTTTATTTAACTGGCCTTATATATGTAAGCAACTACTCAATTCAGAATACACAGGATTATTATTTTAACTAGGGGCTAGTTGATTCTTTTCACACATACTTCTAATCCTGACTTTTACCTGCAGAACAAGGATCTTGGCAGATTCGGGTGGCAACAAATTCCTCACGCTCATATTTAGCTCTAATCCACTGCTCTCTTAAGACTCTGAAAGAGGAAAACATGTATAAAGCTGATCTGCCTTTCCTCTATTTTCACCAACCAACCAACCAACCAAGAAGACCTGTAGAGGAAAGCAATAGTTTAGCTGTAAAGGTCTGGAGCAGTAAATACCCCATGAACTTACAAGCAATCACAGGACTGAGGGATGTAATAGTATGGAGGGACCTTGGCCTCATATTTAGCTTTGGCACAAAGATTCCCATGCTGCTTCATAAACTGAAATACAAAAAAAAAGTTACAGTTAGGCAAGCAACTACAAAATCCATGTTATGAACATGAAATGAAACTGCTATCAAAGGGAGCACTGCAGTTTTTTCTCAGTCTCACTGCAACTCTCAGTGTGTCCCTACACACATCTATAAATTCCCTTTGGCACTACAGTTTGCACTATTTAGGTGGCTGAGCCTTTGTCAGTATTAACAGTTTGAACCAGATCAGGAGAACAAAAGAAAATGAAGAGAAAATTATTTATGATTTCCCTATACCTTCATTTTCTCCTGGACATAAACTGCAATTATATTAATACAATTCAACTGAAAGATGAGAGGCTGAACCAATGGTTAAGCAGGTAATGTTGATTGCCAAATAGAATATACTATCTGTAAATACCTGTGGGCTTTTAAACCACACTGAATAGTTACTGTGTGCTTGAAAAAAAAACACTACAGGATGTTAGAAGGTCAGCTACAGCTCAGCTATCAGTGTAATTTGATTGAGTAGGTTATAAAAAAAACCCTAAAGTTAACCATGGAGTTGTCTCTGTGTGGCTTTGTTCCTGTGTCCTTGGTGGATGAAATGGGAACTACAAGGCAGAGAAGGTTAAGATAAAATGTGGTGAAAAGTAAGTGAATTATTGCTTTTTCCTCTATACCTCTATAAGATCATTCTCCCAGAAGTCAAGCCGAAGGGATTTGACCCTGCTGATCTGAGGAAGATTGCGATGGATTCCAGAGCAATTCAAACAAATGAATATTCCAAGTTTGTAAGAAGCCCACTCTGGATCTAGATACAAACACATAGAAATAACTAATACATGGGAAAAGGCACAGCTACTGGCAAGGGCAAAAGAAGCCAACCCCAGCAGAGACATTTCCCCCAGAGCTGGAAAACTACCCGGCACACTCTCCTCCTCCAGCCCTGCGCGCTGTCTACAAATAACTCCGGGGAAGCTGCTGATGTGCCGAGGCTGCTTCCTGTCCCACGCTGTCCCCTGCGCGCCCCGTGGGGCTCCTCGCCCCCGCTCCCGGCTCTGCCTGCCCGAGAGCCGCGTCCTGATCCGCCCGCAGCCCGGCAGCCCCGCCGGAACGGCCGCGCTGGG